GACATAAGGACAGTTTGCTAAATGTTGCAGTTAAGTTGTAGTAATAAAAAGTACAAACCAGCCTGTGCAGACTCTTCCTGTAATAATTGGTGGACAGGAGTTGTATCTCTCTTTGATGAGGCAAACAAAAGCTTCGAAATGACAGAACATTTTTGCTTGGACTTAGCTAAATTTTTGGCTTTAGCACTATCGAGTAACCTTTTGAGATTTAAGGGCAGAGTTGAGCTGGGTTCCGGAATGATATGACTTCCCACAGGTTTCTTTCCTCTCGGTTCCTCATCTGACTCCGAATCTGATAAAAGTAGGCGTTTAGGCGGCTTTCTGTTGCGTGGTTTATTGTAGTCTGTATCAACATCTGTTGCAGCAACTGTGTCCTCCTTCACAGCCTTGTTTCTTGCTTTTAAGGCAACATTGAAAGTAGCTGTATGCAGAGACCACAAAAGATTAAATTAAGAAGATAAACTTGCACCATAAAAAAACAGATGCAAAAAACTTACAATAACTGTGATGATATGTAATGCGGAGAAGTTTCCAGACGGACGAGTCATAGTCCGCTAGACTCATCACCAACTTCATACATTTTCCCCTCATGGAATGTGGTGGATAATAACAGAATTCTCTATTCTCGCTAATCCATTTGGTTGGTACAACTTCCACAAGGATTTCCTCTTCATCATTTCCAGGGTCAGACACAAACTCTACCACAGAATACTGTAAAAAATAAATTTAAAGTTAACATCAAGAAAAGATAAACAAGAGCAAGAAAACAAATGACAAACAAGATCTAACCAAAAATTTATTGAGGACCATAATTCTTAGAGTATTCATATAGAATTACTTCAACTCAAAAAGATTTCTTTGGATTTAATAAATTTTATTGCATTCGCACGAAAGAAAGATCAGAAACTTTGGCCGGGGGTACTTGTGTATATCTGTAGATATCCATTTTTAATGCCACTTTTAATATGAGATGAAAAACATAAGACTCAGCTGGGATCGAACTCTGATCTTCCGCTTGCCAGACAACCGCTGTTTCCACTGAGCTATTTAAGATTTCATGTTTGTGACATCTATATACCTGAGTGAAAAATGATTCGTTGATTGACGTCAAAATGATATCAAATTGACGTCGGTTAATGGTTTGACAATTTCAACGTCTATTTGATGTCATACCCTTATAGAAATATCATACTAAGAATCATTGATAATTACTTATTTTCAGTATTAAAAATACTGGATAATAAGTAATTATCAATGATTCTTAGTATGATATTTCTATAAGGGTATATACTGTTCTAACTGCTTCAAATGTAAGTAAAGCGCACTTTCAAATATGTAATTCAAAATCCAAGAATAAAGTAAACGTCTCAGTGATTGAACATATATGTTCCAATGATTAACATATTAGTTTTGCATTTTCTTTATTAAAATGCTTTTCAATATACAAAATAATATAATAAATGAAAAGAAATATTTAGTTACTTTGTGATTTCATTGTAATAAGTATCTTAACAAACATAAATATATTATTAATAATTCAATTGTCAGTACACGATAATATTCACCCTTATAGAAATATCATACTAAGAATCATTGATAATTACTTATTATCCAGTATTTTTAATACTGAAAATACGTAATTATCAATGATTCTTGGTATGATATTTCTATAAAGGATATCGTCAAAATGACAGTCTAATGTCGCAGATCGATGACGACATTTTAGATGACTTAATGACGTTTTATGACGTCTCTAAACGTCAATAATACGTTTTTAAGACGTTTGTCGTGCCCCGTGTTGCCAGGACGCGAGAAAAGTTCGAGATCGGTGACACGGCTGGGTGTGTGGCGGTGGGTTGATAAGTAGTAATAAATTGTAGTCGTTTTCCTTTTGATTTAAATATAAAAGCTTTTATTGGTAATAGTATTCGAACGTGTTTAATTACTACTCCCGATTCTTATTAGTAATGTGCGAACCGCGCGTTGGTCGCGTATGTCGCAGCGAGAGACCTAGGTGTTAAGTCTGACGCGGGCGGTCTTCTCCGCTCTTTTATAATATTGTTTTAGGCTTGTCGGAGGGGGGTGCCTGGCGACAAGAACATTACCATATTTGGTAATGGTTTAATGCGTTTGGAATTGAGGTCTTAAATGCGGAATATGCAAGGTGGTGCTTATCGCAGCACTTGTACATCCGCTTCCTTGTTGTGGCGCAATTGAAACGATTCCTCAAGAAGTGTTTCGAAAGCGCTGATATTATTCGCGATTATAACACGTTATACAGAAACGTCATTAAGATGTTACAAAAAAAGACGTTTTAATGACGTCGTTATTTAGTCACTTGACGTCATTCGACCAGTTATGATCAGTTTTTTACGTCGTTTTGACGTGAGGGTAAATATTTCGTATAAGGGACCCAGCTCCAATCACTTTGCTTTTGAGATATGTTATCAAGGACATCATCCTGAGTAACCTTCAAGTGGTTTTAGTTGGGGGTCGTTGTTTGTTAAAAAGTTATTAACAAAAGAAGTTCTATAAAATGAATGTTATTTTTGGACACCGCATATACAAAAACATCAAATTTGTAAGCTAGGAAAATGCCTGCTACACACACACACACACACTGCTTGGCCACATGTGCGCTATAAAATAGCACCATATGCACCCACCGCGAGCCCGCCCTATCGGGCGGGCGAGCGCACGGGCGGCTAAGCA